CTTGCGCAAGCCATCTTGGAGATATTTTGTTGTAGTTTGGAACATCATCATTATGTTTAGATTTATGGGAATCCAATCCCAAACTCCCACAACCCCCTCTATTCATTTCATAATCTCCATTTCTCATGTTAGTTTTCAGTCTTTCTGCTGTCTTGCTGTTAGAATCATGGCTGCTAAACAGATCAACAGAGAGCTTACATTTGATTTAGAAATGGGTGACAGATTCTTTGCTCTTGGCATAACTGTCACAGGGGTTGGGTGTACATCAGTGAGAATCAGAAAATGGCAGAGGAGTGGATGATACAGGTGATGGATATTTATCATAAGCTGCCCATACGGTGTCAGATAGAGTCCTGTGAAAAGTGTTAGGTGGTGGGATGATTAAGCTGGTATATATATTACTCATGAGGGTACAGAGAAACAGAAATCTTGAGGAGTCTAACCCTGCTGGCATCTTTTGTAGCAATGGTTTCACAAGCTCTTTGCAGAGTTGTTCAACTAAAGTTGGCATACTGTGGTGGGAGAAATGAGGCAATTCTTTCTAAAATGTGTGGGTAATGATGATTATAGTATTGAACTCAAAATGTCAGTAAAATGGCAGTAAGGCAGACAGGCAAACAGAGATGTATAAGCCAAAATGAATCAGAATTTCTGCAAGAGAAGAATTTCTCTTTCCAGTTTCACTGTCTTGAATGGTGGTACCCTAAACTAGACACAGTACTCTAGGTGAGGCCTCACCAGTGCTGAATAAAGTGAAAAAAATGCTTCTTTTGACTTGCAGGTAGCACTCCTGCTAATACAGCTCAGATTCACCTTGGCTTTTTTTTTTTAAAAAGAGCACACTGTTGACTTATTCATCTTGCATCCAGTACAGCCCCAGGTCTTTTTGTGTAGTATCTCAGTCTAGCCAGTCATTCTCCACTTTGTATTCTTGCATTTGATTGTTCTGTCTTAAGTGCAAGACATATCCTTATTGAATTTTATTCAATTAATTTCAAACATGTTTTTCTAGATCTCAAAATGTTTCTGCAACTCCATTTAATTTGGTATCCAGTGCAGATTTGCTAAGTATGCACTCATTTCCACCCTCCGAGTCAGTAATCAAAATATTGAACTGCGCCACATTCAGAATAGACGCCTGGGAAATTCCCCACACAGGGCTCTGTTCACAGGACAGATTTTACTAGTAAAACTTTATAGTGAACTAGGCCTTTTAGTGAGTCTCAGGAGTGATTTTTATGGCCCTTTGTTGCTATGAAAAGAATACATGGTAGTGTTATATTTTAGTTAATAGTAAATTTGAAAGCCATAAGAATTTTGGTTTACTAGGACACTTGAAATCTATAATACATTCCTTCTTGTATAATCAGATGAATGATTGTGAACATAACTCTAATAGTAAACCATCTATTTACAATAGTTGACTAAAGGGTGCCTTGAATAAAAATTGTCGTTTGAGTTTGTAAAGCTAACTTTACAGTTCACAGTTTTAGAAGCAAAGCATATTTTTTCTAAAGAAGCCTGAAATATTGCTCCCTTTTGTGCAATAACAAAAAAAAATCAAGTTTGAAACAAAAAAATGGTTTATTTGCCAAACCCTACAAATCCATTTGCATACAGGGGAAAGGGCTTTTTAAAGATCCTTTGCGTAGTCAGCCTGGGATAGCTAGGCCTGATTGATTTATTTACATATTTATTTCTTTTTATTTACTGTTGCTGCTGTAAAATGAGCTTTTGGGTTAATATTAACTTTACAAAAAGTTCAAGAAATGCCACATATTAAACAGGTGCATTTTTCTTATCTACCAAATGAAAAATTGAACAGTGATATGATTAATATTATATTATCAACAATAGCTGGTTTTGAAAATGACATGAGGAGATATCCTTATATTTGAACTGGGAACCTACTAATAACAATGGCATGGGTGTTTGTATGCTACCAGGAGGGATGTGAAGAGTTCAGCTGGGTGGATGCAGTAAATTTTGTGCCAAGTCTTTAGAAGGGAGCAGTTATCAGGAATCCAGAACACTGTTTTATAATTCTGCTTAAGAAAACAGTCAAACAGATTTTACCTTTTGTGTATTGATTGGTTTGCAAGCAGTAAAAGAACAAAGAGATATCTGAGAAACTTGTACTTTGATTCTCTTCTGGCACATATACTTTGAGCTGAATTGTTAAATATGTTCTAACATCATGTTCATTAATATTAGTTACATGCACAAATGAGAAAACAGCTTGACTTTCAAAACTAAGAATTTTCAGGGCTGACATCCATTTAAAAAAGTGTTTGCTTGTAACACGCACATTTGGGCCAGAACTTGTGGAGGGGCCATATTTTGAATCTCATCATTACATTTCTAGCTGCTTTTTACAGTAGAACTACACTTCAAATCCAGACTTTCCCACATTAATTCTTAATGAATTAATTTCAGGCTGAAAGACAGGAAATGTTCAATTTTATATTCTAACTGGATTGCTTGGTGTCCTCTCTTGGAATTGATACTAAAAGTGATAGTGACTATCACCAGGTTAGATCTTTCATTTGTGGCTTTGAAGATTGTTTTCCCCCCGAGTCTCCCTCTCTCCTCCCCTCCCCCCCTTTTTTTTTTCTCAATTTCTTATTCTCCGCTTTATTGTTTGGCTGAAGAAAATGCTGAGTAGATAAACATTTCATTATTATACATGCAGCTTTATTTATATCTAAAACCAAACTGCCAGCTGGTCTTAGAAAATTTGTTTTACCTTGTGTTTTTTACACAATAGTAGGTTTTATTAAATGAAGATGAAAAATAACTTTTCTTGAAAACTGGTAAAATTTTAAAAAATACCCAGGGATATCACATTTCTTTACTCCTTACATTTCATTTTCACATGGATAAGTAGATTTTAATGTACTTACTTATTTGAACCAAAATAATTAATTGGGGGATACAATTATTTGCATAAGTATTTGGCAGTCAGACAAAAATGGAATTTAGGCAAAATACATTTCTTGAGTTAGGTGAAACTGGTGTCAGTATAGCACTTCTTATTTATATATCAGAGATACAGTGTTAAATTTTAGATGTAACACATTGGTTCAGTATCTCTGAAGCAGTATCAGATGTGTTATGTGGTGAAAGAATATGTATTGCATACATATTAATAAAGCTAGTATTTGTATACTAGTTGCAGTGAGACAACTGGGAGTAAAAGTAAGTGCTGTGCACTTTTGCACTCAGATCCTTTTTGTATGGTAAAATAGTCTCCCCTCCCTTCAATTAATGTATATTTTTATCATTATACATTAATTTTATGTTTATTTCATGTCTTGTGTTAGAGACAGACATTACTTGTTTATTTTTGTGAGCTTATGTAGAATATAAGTACTTAACCACCAAATTTGGAGCCATGGTGCCACCCTTTGTAAAGCAATCAGAACATGAGTAAGTTTTGCGGAAACCCTGGACAAAGTATGCATTCAAATTGAAAATGCTTATTATAATTTTCCATCAGCTTTTGAACAGCTTCTTCATCAAGTGCCATCACTTGGTGTTCAACCCCTGTGGTGTTGTGGTCAGTTGGTTAATATCACAGGCTTTTGTCAGTCCCACACAGGTGATGCTGTCAGGGTTTGACTATGTAGTTCATTGTCTTATTGACCATACTTATGTCTTTATTTATGTTGATTCAGTGGGATTAATATGAAGCAAATAGTTTTACTGTTTAACATTGTAACATTCGAGTGACCATTTTTGCCAGTAGTTGTAGTATTTGCATACACATGTTAAGTGTGAATTTGTATGCTCATCAGTGAGAAAACCAGGTCTTGCATAGGCACATGTGAGTGTGTATTTTTTCTCCATGCTGAATACTGTGGAAGCTCCAACTTACAGAACTTGATAAGTTAATTCACTGGTACATGGGCAATAGTACCAAGCAAATTGCACCCTGCTGGCAACAGCATATTTTGTTCTGCCCATCAACCTTAGTTTTAACTTTCTTTAACCATGCCTCGGCAATCTGGGTCTTTTAATAATACAAATGATTAAGATTTGCCTCAGTTGGTTATTTAGTAACTTATTGTTTTGTGGTTTGCCATGTCACAGTTTCTGCACACATTTTATTAAAGATATTTTTTTTCAAATGATAAACAGTTCTGTAAGTAAAAAGAACAGAAATACTCTGTTTTTAAAGTGGTGGTCTGCTGTCTGAAAATGGATTACTTTGAACCATGGGTGACTGGTGCCTCCCGAGTCTGGGAGGGCACCAGATTGCCAATGGGGGGGGGTGGGGTGCACGGTGAGGTTGTCCCCCAGCGGCAAAATGCTGACTAGTGGGGAGGGGTCCCCCAGTGGCCGATTGCTGATAGGGGGCTGGCCCAGCAGTCAATTGCTGAGTCAGCAGCGAAATCAGTTTTGGGGATGGTGCTTCCAGAGGGTGCACAGCCAATCTCAGGGGGTGCACGTGCACCCTCTACGCATTGCCAATGCTTTGAACTGCTGTGATGGAAGAACTGATTTTTTAAAGATAATTCAAACATGTTTTGATACTGGAAACTGAGTTACCGTATTTTCTAATGTACGATAAGGCACTCCCCCCCACTTAGTGAGGAGGGTTCTGCCATGCATGCCCCTTCTTCCTTTTCCCTACCTAGGCCTGCAGACTCTCTCTGACATCTCTGAGTTAGTCCTCATGTTACCTGTTAATTTCAGTTAAAAGGAATTTTTCCTTCTGCAGCCTGGGTGTATAACATTCTTCTTACTTTTAAGAGCTCTTTTTTGCTGGGGGGAAGAGGGGTGGCAGAGGATGGTGCGTCTTATACATGAGAAAATTCAGTAGTTCAGGGAGAGAAAGAAGTAAAGTACATTTGTAAAGCGTTGTGTTCTGTTAACTTACATTCTGAGCTTTTAAATGGAGCATTTAATCATTGAAATAAACATATAATGCTTCTGTGTTCTGCTTGTTCTTGTCTTCTTTGGGTATATTTTAACATTTATTTGTATTAATTTTGTAGGGATGCCTCATTTGGGAACTGTACATACAATCTTACAATCCTGGATTGTTTACAGGGAATAAAAAAGGTAATATCACACCTCCTTATGGTGAACTAAATGCAATAATTCTTCTTTTAAAAGGTACTGAAAAAGATACCAACCTATCAAATTTCACCATGTTCTTGGAAGACAAGTTATACCCTACCACTAACTCAGGGCAATAGATTACTCTGAATTCTGAGGATAGGAGAAGCTGCTAAACTTCTCCCATACTAGTCAGTCACTCTCTATACCTTCTGAAGGCTGGTTTATTTATAGGAACTTTTATGTGAACGAGATTTATTCAGGTGAATTTGCTAAGTTAATTCCCGAAACATTTCCAGTAGCAGCAATGTATTGGTTCTATGAATAAGTAAACAATTTTAAATTGTTAATCTCTCACATTAAGAAAAGAAGCTAACATTTAATTAAATGATACTAGTCTAAATATGATTTTAAAAATGTTGCTTAACCAAGTATCTATGACAATGAGAAAACAAGCCGTGTTTTCTGTTCTAGATTTTAATCCAGTTTTATTGTAAGTGCTAGCATTAAATTACTTCATTACATTCTTGTAACAATGGGCTTTTTTTTGGATACCACAGTCTTCCCAAAGCTTTTAAGAAAAAACAGTGATTTTAAGTTCCAGTTGACTTTTTCAATGGCATCACTTTTAACAATGTAACTAGTCATCTCTTTCTTCATTCTAATTTTACAATGTTAGACATAATTATAAACTAGCTTTAAAAAGTCGAATTATATTTAGTTAAGTAGTTTTTCCTGAGGACAAAGTAAATTCTGCTTTAGAAAGTAATGTTTTAATGTTATCCCTATCTCCACTGCCATTTTGCCAAAAAAATGGAATTGCTTTCTAAGATTTCCTTTTGTTTGTTTAACATTGTTTCAAACGGCAGTTGATATATTAAGTTGTACTTCATTATAGGGGATCTGAAGCAATAGATAAGTTCTAGAAAACACAACAGTATCACTGACTCCAAGTTTTTTTTAAAGTTATCCTTTCCACCCAAACCATAAGGTTGGTTTTTTGTAATTTATATAGAGAAAAATAGATTTCTTTCAATATCCCTATTATCTATCTGTAATGTATATCTCAATATAAAACTGCATTTAAAACAATTCATTATATACACACATGCACGTACATTTGCAACTTAAATGATGACTCTTCTAGTTCTTTACATTGATTTGAAAAGTCCTGCCAGTTAACTGGGCACTAATTCTTGAGGAATTTTAGTAAGAGCTCCAAATGCTGACTAAAAACAGATGTTGCATGAAGTCACAGCAGTGCGTCTGAAATGAATGTGTATTTTGTCAACAAGGATTATAAGGATCACGTTTTTTTTCTTTGCTCCATTACAAGGGTCAGCCTCTAATATTTGACTGACCTGCAAAGCTAAAAGCATTTTGAGCTGATTACGTGTCCTGCTTTATTTGTTTGGAAGAAGCAATGAAGCAGTTTTGCTTTGCCTTTAAAAGAATCCAGGGTATACATAGCAGAATAACGGAATAGATTTTTTTTTCACCTAGATCTGTAGCTCTTGTAAGATTTTTTTTTCCTTAGAATTCCAAAACACATTTTACATAGTCATTTTTTCAGAACAGTGTGACACATCTGATACATTGGGACAAATGCTTACGATAGCACGCTCAGAAATCTACTCCATTTACTCCCTAGAGACAAACAATCATATGGCTTCCTTCATTCAAAAGGCCTTATAGAATTCATGTAAAATTTAATTGAAAAATTGTTGGAAGGATCTTCAAACGCTTTACAAACTATAAAATCTGCCAAAAAGCATTTTGGAAAAGTGCTAAATGAATGTATGTAGTTAAGCACTCAAAGTTAGGAAACATTAGAATGCAAGTTAACATATGCTACTGTAACTCTTTATATAGTATTTGTACATAACCATTACGACTTGTAACTATGTACATGCTGTATTCTCTTAGTTAAAGGCTTTTAATTTAATTTTAAACGTTAACATGTCAGTGACTTTTATTTTGATTCCAGTTCAACAAATTGGGGTTCTGCTTCAGGATTTGACAATGTATTATTATGATAAATCTTTTATTTATAAACTGAAAAATTGTGTTCCTTTTTAGGCTTTGCAGCATGGATTTTTTGATTTTAAGACATTTGATGTGGAGGAATATGAACACTATGAGGTTTGTATATCTCAACATCTAACTCTTAAGCCTGGCTTAAAGAAAGCTGGGTGGTATATACAGTGGCACTCAGCAAGAACTGAAATGTCTGCATAGATGTATAACTTTTTCAAATATATTTCTGTGGATTTCATTGTACAGATGTGCACTGCACATGAAACAAGATTTTTCTTGGATAGCATTGTTTGTCAGGATCACTTACCATATTTTCCCATGTACAGTATATGCCTTTTTTTCCCAAATTCAGCTGCTGGAAATTGGGAAATAAGTTATAAGCAAGGAAATATAGTAATATCAGTTTTTGCCTCTGCTGTGCCGGGAGTGGAAGCGGGTGGGGAGGGAAGCAAAAAATAATGCTATACATGGAGCTCGTAAGATGCTATCTGGGGACACTTTCTCTTTCCTCCTGGCAGAGGCTTCTATTATAGAAGCTGCTACTCAGTGACTAACTGCTACTTACCAGTGTTTTCAAGGAAAGATTTTTTTTTCATTCTTCCTTTCAAAAACAAGGTGCCTATTTTATTTGGGGCTGTATTGTATGCTAGAAAATAAGAGTGGAGTCAGCTTCTCACTATGGAGAAGCTGGTACCAAAGGAAAGTCTGGTGCCAGTGCATGTATGAGCATCACCACAAGAATGAAACCAATGTCTGTTCCAGCATGAAAGTCAAGATGAAAAGAAACTGCTTCAGACACCAAGACTCCCATATGGCCAAACACAACAAGCCTTTGAGAGATCTTTGAAGCACTGCCACAGTTCAGGGGTTAGAGACATAATGAGCAGACAGCAGTGAAGAAATCTCCTTGTTCTCAAGAATATTGGAAGTGGGCTATAAATGGGTATTTCCACTAGCTATTAGTTGTGTGGTGGAAAATTGGCTCTTTTCTCCAAAGGGGCCACTTCACCATGGTATTGTCACTGTTTTCTACTTGTTTGGGGCATGATAGGGCTCAGACTGACTTCCACATGTCAAAGAACCATAGTTATTGTAAGATGGATTCTTGCCTTATCAGTTCTGTGTTACATTTATGTTAAAGTTACAAATAATAATAGTAATAATAATAATAAACATAGAGTAAGTATAAATAGACCAGATTTTATATACGTTAAATTTTAATAATACCAAAATCTTTCCTGGACCTTTTTTTTTAGAGGCAGTGCTACTTGAATTTACCTAGTACTGTAGTTTTCTACTGTAGGTGTAGAAAATGTAAAAGCTTGGAAAATTGTGCAGTTGGCTAGCACAGACTGGTGCTTCAGAGGTGTCCTTTTTAAGTGTACTACTGCAGTTGAACGTAATAAAAATAATATGTCCAGAGACTTTCAGACCCTCGTAAACATGCCTCTGTAACATTAATAAAGAGCTATTTTATTTGGTTTTGATCAGATCTTAAAAATGCCTAGGCAAAATTCCCTTTGAAATGCATGAAACTGTAGGAAATGCTTCTCCAGCACACCTATCTAGGAGGTATGGCTCTGAAGAAGTTAGCTATGGTTAAGTGTGCAGAGGACAGACAAATGATTGTGGTGTTCTACTGTAGTCTGCCTGTTTCAAAGGGGAAAAAAAGTAAAAACAATGTTGGGAAGACATATTTCTAGATGTGATAGTGTTCCACACTGTTTAGAAATCAATATTCTTTACAACAGCAGCCTTTGTTGCATTACTTTAGGATTTGCTTTAATGCCCATATTTTATATTGAGCAACTAATCTAGATGGACTTGATTCATTCCATTTTTCCTGTGAACTATGGTAAAATGTTTATTCAAAAAACAAAAGATAGCTGATTGGGAATATGTATTTAGTGCATGTCCAGCCAAGTTCTCTTAGAAAGTTGTGTAAGCAGTTAGGTAAAACTATGTACAAAGCAGATTCATTATTTATTAAACATTTTACATTTGTGATAACTCATTCACGGAATATCAGAATCAAGAAAATGGGATTTAAGGGAACATTGTCTGTTGACTTGGATTAATTTTTACCTGGAATCCTCTTCAGTTTTTTTATCTATTCTTTCTCCAGTTAACCCAAATTCCCATACCAGTTGACCTCTTTTTGTGTATTAATTCAGTTCAGATACTCCCAAGACGTTGATTTAAAATGTTAAAACTTCGGTAATTTTTTGGCACGATAACAAATGTGATGGCTTATAATGTGCATGGAAATTATTTTTAAATGGACAGATATGCTAAAATAATTAATACAAATTAATTTGCTTTCATTGTTTTAAGCTGATCTAGTCTTATAGATTTCTTCACTTATTGGTCAGGATATAAAATGTTGAATTTATAGCAGTTTTATAGCTGCTTATGTACAGTGCTGCAAACATCTATTGCACCTTTGTTTCACTAGGGATGGCAGCTTTCCACACTATTTGATAATACATAAAAGAAAGTTGAAGTTTGGCCAACCCCTACCATATTTTCTACTGAGAAATTTGTTGGAGGACTTGAGCCTTTAAGTAGAAATGCCTTAGATACGATCAGGTATACATGTTCAGGGAGGTTAAAAACTGAGTAACTAATGATGTCATTTTAAGATAAAGAATTTTAACTCCACAATACAATTAAATTAAAAATATACAAATATTTCTAAATTATCAAGTGGAAAGCCAATTGGTACACAAAATTCTGTTCAATCCACCAAGTACAGTTATTGGCATAAACTGTGTTATTTCTCCCACATGCCAACAAAGGAGTCTATTCATCAGTCTTTATTCAGATAACACTAGAAGTAGGGGTTATGTCTCTGTGAGTACCATGGTATCAGGCCTAATGGGTATAGCCAGGCAAATGGTTGGCGTAATTAGAACCTTGAACTCAGTAGGATTTGGTGACTGTTCAATATAGGTTCTTCTCATGAACAGCGCACAACTTCATAATGCAAGCATGGCATGGCATAGAGGCCAGCTAGAACAAATACATCATTCTTTATCAAAGTAGGTTCATAACCAATGTGTATGTTTTTGGTTTTTTCTTGGTTTGGGTCGGGGCGGGGGGGGGACGACACACGGGACGACACAAGTTTTAAGATTTTGATCTTGTCTTGTGTTCCAAGAGATGTTTTTAGATTTGGCAAATGGATGAAGAAATTGAATGGATGAAGAAAGATTTCCATTTTTGCAGAATAGTTTGGAAGTTTGGGTTAACAGAACCAACGCAAAAAGAACTTGCAACTGTGCAGTTTCTTTTAAAGTGAATAACTTTTACAATTGGCTTCTGCATTCACTAATTTATCAGAGCTATTGCAGTAGGTGGATTGCAGCTTTTACAGAGAAAATATAAATTAGTCTTAATTTGTTCTTAAGGATTTCTTTTTTTGCCAGCTTTTGATATTTGAAGTTGCATTTAACAATATAGTACTATATATAGTTCATAAGTAGAGATGTTAGACATTTTTAAGCAGAAATGTTTTGGGTTCAAAACGATTCATCTGACCTTACCTGAAAAGTTTGCACAGCTTCTCTTCACTGCTGCATACATTTCTGAAGAACAGCCATACACACATTGAGTTTCTTCTATATATTTGAGTTGATTAGTTAGAGTTGAGATGCTTTGCTTATCTTGCTATAGTGGGGGGTAGAGTAAAAAAAACCCAAAAACAACTATGGATTTTTAAAACTTGTGTGCAAATATTTAAAATGCTTTCCCTTTCTTCTCTCCTGATATTCTCACTAGCGGGTAGAAAATGGTGACTTCAACTGGATTGTTCCAGGAAAATTTTTAGCATTTAGTGGACCACATCCAAAAAGCAAAATTGAAAATGGTATGGTTTTTTTTTATGTTTTACTGTTGAAATATTTTATAAATTTGTTCTTTTCTAGTTTCTTCCACCACTCCTACTCCTTAATGAGTTTTTGCATATTTGTGAAGACAATAGCTAATTTCTGCAGTAGAATTAGAAAAGTTTATATAAAGGTAGATTTGCCACTGCAGAAAGAATTTGTCGGAGGGTTTTCAGTGCCTATTATTGGGTTTAGTGCCACAGATCTCTCATTCAATGACATTTAGAAAAGTAACTCAGTAAGTCCCTGAGAAACTTGAGGTGCCTTTCTAATTGTTTTCCTGAACCTGGCAACTGATACTTCTTTTGCATAGAATTAAAGGTGTTTTACAAAGGAGAAAATTAAAAAAGGGTGAAAGTTGACTTCTATATCTTTAATGCAGGCCCCTTTTAAAGGGTTTAAACAACTTTTTAAAAACAGATATCATTTATAGGATATTTCATAACTAATGAGAGAAGCAGTATGTATTTTTTAAACAGAGTGCAAGAACATGAAATCTGAATGCAAGTGGAAGAGATTCAGATGACACAAAGGGAAAAATCAGCTAGAAAAACTAGTTAGTTTAAAAGTACTTTTCAACCATTTTGAGGCACTGTTCCTGCCGTGCATTTCTGTGACCATAAGTGTGGCTCTGCCACATTCTTTAATTCTTTACAGATTCCCTTCCCACCACCCCCATATGCTTATGCATGGAACTTTGCTTAGATAGCCAAAGAAACCATAATTGCAAAGCCCCATCAAACATGAAATATAGAAACTGAAAAAAAATTCTAATCTTTAGGTTCTAATTCACTGTCTTTATGTATTCAATTTATATGACACCCTTCCCAACAAAGGCTCAGGATAGCTTACAATAAGAGAGAAGAATACCTGTATAAAATAGGAGTCTGACAAGGAAACAAAATAACTTAAAAGAGAATTAGAATATCCACATAAAACAGAGATCTCCCCACACCACAGCAATATCTCAGCCTAGCTTTGTTTGCTAAGTGAGGAAGGTCTTCCAGTACTTCTGAAAGATGTCCAGGCTCAGGCTCTGATAAGCCTCGAGGGAGGGAATTCCAGAGCTGTGGAGCTGTGCGAGGAATGATCTTCCATACATTTTTGCCACATTGACTTGGCATATTGATGGTACTTGCAGGAAGTTGCTCTCAGCTGACTTTGGGGATCACGTTGGGTCTCAAGGGAGAAGACAATCCCGTAGGTAAATAGGACCCAGATCATTTAACAAAACACTTTGACAAGATAGCATGTAGGGTATGTCTTAGTTACACAATTAACTTGATTGATCAGCATCTGATCTGAATTCAATGAGCAATCATATTGTTGTAACTGAGTAGTTGCTAGTGTTGCACTCACCAGGCTGTACCGTTGTGCCCTCTAGGAGCATATTCTATGACTCCTTGTGCTGAAATAACCCAAGGTTTTTGTCGGTTTTTCATATAAGTTGTAGGAGAACTTGTCTGTCTGTCCTGGGCAAACCAGAATTATGGAAGGCACCAGACGACATAACCTGGAGAGGAAAATGAAACTCAAGGGCATGTCAGTGCTGCCTCCAGTGATTTTTTTGAGGCTGCTGCTCCAAACTAAGCCCTGATTACCCACTCCAAACCTATCCTTGAGGTGATGAGGACATTCTGGGAAAGCCCTCTGCCAATGTTCTCAATCACACCAGAGACAGATTGCAAGAATGATGGCAGTGAGCCTACCTGGAGCATCCTCACCATTTTCTGTTCCTGGTTTGGAGTATGTGAAATGGGAGCAGCTGTGTGGGGTGTTTTCATTAACAATCTAGAGAGCACTGAAAGAGCAGTTTAAATGTGCCCTAGGTTTGCCAGCTTGGTTAGCTAGCTGTAGTTATATAGCTATATCTATCTATCTGTCTGTATATATCTAGCTATACATATAGGTAGATAGATATAGATATATCTATAGAAAGCACCATGAGACTCAGATGAGAGGGTCTTGGTAGGATATGGGGGCAACGTGCAAGTAAAAACTGAATTTGGTAGTAAAGTACTCTGCACCCTGATTCCTCAGTTAAAGGCTGATAAAGTTTCCAGTCCATATTTGTATTATACAGTAATTTCTCTAATGAAAAGGGGAAGATGAGATTTAACATTCCTTACACAAAAAAGATTTCTGGGATATGGTTGTGAACTGCAAGGGAGTGACTGTCCAATGTAGTTCACAAAACATAAATACTGTAGTAAATAGGCCATAGAGCATAATTACTTTTCTGAAGTCAGTGTTTACATTCATTTTACAATTTTAAATATAGTTTTGGGAAAGTAGGTGGGTGTTTGTTTTTTATGTAAAGCATTTTGCCATATTCTAATTCTGTATTAGCAACAATAACAAGCAATAGGTGTCTGTTGCAAATCCAATCTTACAAAGAACTGAAAAAGAAAAAGATCAAAAGAGATTCTGTAGAGAAGAAATATTACATTAGTGGTTGAGGTTTGTAAATACAAACATATTGAGGGGGAGGAGTCTTTAATTTACTCTCTCTTAGGGCTCTCTGCATTGCTTTACTTGGAAAAGGTTGTGGATCGCATAGATACTGATGTTTCAGCATCTAATTTTCCAGTCTCTTCTTTGAGGCTGTTCAGTGATGAGTAGAGAACAAGAGTTTTGGTTTCCGTGGGGGTTTCTAGTTTTTCTGCTTAAAATAGATACACAAAGATCTAGTTTCTGCTTTTCTGGACTGATTTTTTTGCCTGAGTTCTGCTGTTTGGAAGAGGCAGTTGATACAAGCACAATATACTGTTGCATGTAATTTATACATATGCTGCAAGTTAGAGAAGTTTCATTTTGAGAAGGAGGGACCCATAAAAAATTATTTAAAAGAGAAGCTGATAGATACAGAAATAGAGACAAAACGTTGTTATTTTCTATAAGAATATGATGGTAGTGCCTATGTGGAAATTTCTTGGTGCCAAATTTCAGATTCAGATCTGACCTAAAATCAATATAGGGATAAAAAGGTACCAACTAACTAATTTGAGAGCTGTAAGGTGGCTTTTGTGAAATGAACTGGTGGTTTTGGTGTGGTTCCTATAATCTGTTTGAATAACAGTAGCCTCATAGCTACCACTACTTGGCAGCCTTGCTGCCCTCTCTGTTGAGTGTGAAAAAAGTAAATAGTCCTGGAAAAATAACTATACTCTTGATATTTAGTGTCAGCCCTTAAAGATCAGAGCCAAGGAGCAGTAGTGGGGTAGTTTGATAACAGCTCATGTTGTCTAGCCAGTAAATCAATGGCTGCACTTTTTAGTGTTGTTAATGTGGCAACTTTCAATGGCACTGCAATCCATTAATTTTTGTATAAAGGGAAAAATACTATAACTAACAGACTATAAATCATTTTCAACACAAGCTTTCATTAATCAGTAGCTTAAACTAAGCCAAACTAATGCCAGAAGTTCAATTTAAGATGTTTTGACATACCACTCTTAAGGATGAATTAAAAAGACCTTCAATGTTTATGGGAATTAACATACAAAAGTGATAAACTGAAAATACCACAATTATGCAGTGGTGTATGTGCATATATAATAATACAGTTCAATTACTTTAAATACATTTTTTATTTTTAGCATAATAAATCATGCTAATATATAGAAAATCTCTCAATGTTAGCATTCTTCACTGTCTTGTTTAAATATATTCTGTTTTTTAAATGTCCCCTCACTCATGGGATGTGCTATCTGGTGTAGCTCAGAGAACAGAACCTTCTCACAGCATTGTCAAAGCACTCACATGCACATATGTCCAGATCTCTTTATATTATTGAGGGCTTTTATAAGAGGATTTATAGAACTTTCTTCAGCAGAAGGCTCCAAAACTTAGTTAACTTAATGACCAGTTAACTCAGCTTTTCCTAGCATAGTCATGATTCACGTATACAACATAGATCTGCAGCTAGATTGTTTCCTAGTTGTGGAAAATTGAACTTGAGAAATGCCTAGAAAAAGAGAAATCATTTTTTTCAGACCTCTCCACCTGAAGAACTGGGCGTTTCAGTTTTTCCCAAACATTTTCCTTCTCTTTCTTAAGATGACATCTGGCTTCATAATACATTTGTTTGATCTGTTTCCCATTCTTTCTGTGCCAGTTTCACAAGTAGTTTTTTACCTAGTTTGCAATTTGAGGAGGGATCAGATACCCCTTTAGTATTTCACTCTTGAGAGAGTAACAGCTAGGTACGGCCCACCCACCTGATCTTGGGTACTGACATGACTACAAGGTTCTTCTAGCTTTGTCTGGATTGTCTCTTTTAGCTACTGCCTAGACTCTAGATCTGTGATTCTCAACCTCATTGGACTCGAGGCATCCCTCCTTAACTTCTGTGAATTGAGTGGCACACTATTTCAAAAACTAATTTATGTGTCATAGTTCTTACCTCCTTACAGAAGGTCCAGGCATTGGGCGTCAGGGAATGGGCCAGGTGGGGACAAGCCTGACTTTATGCTTATCTGCTCTGCTTATCTCCTCCTTGGTTATCCCCTGGCATATTGTGGCACCCTTCAAAGAATCTGGTGGCATGCCAGGGAGTTGCAGCACGCTGGTTGAGAATCACTGCACTATTTAGATACCATACAGTCATAATATTTCTCAGGAAAAAAACTTGTACTTTGGATTCAGGCTTCTGGTCACAGGCTATGGACAAATGTCTCTTTTAACCCTTTTAAGGGGATGGGAAGCTGCTGCTTGAGCATACACATCAGCTCTCACAATAGAACTGTTACATCTGCAGGTTTCTGTAGTGTTACAAATTAGCTTAATCACTGTTAATATAACCCTGAATAAAATGGTGTTTTGTTATGCTTGTATCACTACAGAAACACTCAGATGTAAGTTACATCATAACTTATATTGGCAAGTTTTTTGATATTCCTATAATTGTTATATCGATCTATACCCCATCTCCCTTCAGTGAGCATTTTCCCACCATTGTGCCCAATATCTTATGAGCTGA